TATATATATATATATATATTTATATATGCGTGTCTTTGTGTGCTTATTTATTTTTATAGAAAATTACTTGACTAACATTTGAGATTAGATCACTTGCTAAAGTGGAAATTAAGTGAAGATTGTTTATTTGCAAAATTCTTTTGATTTAGAATTAATTGATCTTTTTCTGTGTAAAAAAGGCCAGTTATTTATGGGGTGTGTTTCTACTCAAGACATAATTATGTCTTCAGTAAGGTCATACACAAAGTTAGGATGAAATGAGATTATGACAAGGCCATCGTATGATGATGAATATTTATTAGTGTCATTTTTTTTTATTACAGATAGCAAATAACATGAGTTTTTTCTCTCTCTTTTTCTTTTCTTTTTTCTTTTTTTTTCTTTTCTTTTTCCCTGCAATGAATTTTGATCTCGATGCAAAAAGAATTGCCAAACTTTGCATATTTATTCAGATTAGCAAAAAAGAAAATATTTTAGATATTTTTGTACTCAGTAAAGATGTATGGTAAAGGGTACATTAATTGATAACATAACATGTTTCACACACTGGGAACAGTAATTGGTAAACTTTGAAACGAAGAGGACTGTGCATATGTACAAACATACATAAATACATAAGACATGCATACATTCATACTTACATAAACACATTCTACTTGAACAAGAAAGTTTTTAATATTCTTTTCAATTAACCAAATCCTCAAGGAAACAAGGTATAATGACAAAGAGAGAGTGAGGTAAATGGAATGCAAGCCTTTTCCATTTTCATTGGAGTCGGGTTTGGGGGGGCTTGGTAAAGTCAGATTTTGTTATAAGCTTTAGGTTTATTAAGAAAAATCATGAGATTTTTTTTTAATATATAACAGAAAAATGGTAAATCTACATTGATGTAACCATGCCACAATCACATCATTTGTTCACTAATTGCTTTTTATGAAACCAAAATTTGAAAAATAAACTGAAAATGAGATATGAAATGCACACACATGCACTCACTGTTTTGCATTAACATCATTATTATTATCATCTTATTTTTATTTTCTGTTTTATTCTGTTTTCTTCTAGTTTTTTTATATAAGTTCTGCTTAAAGCATGAAGAAAAAGCATGAATATAGTGTTTTTATTGCTGATAGAATTACATGAATGATATGGAGCATTTCTATATTGAATACCTTTTTTTCTTTTGTTTGTTAATTGGTTGATGTATTCTGTTTCAGGACCTTCATCACAGAGTACAATATGCTTTCCAGTGGATCCAAAAAACGTGCATACTGGGCCCCCTACTGGAAGTGGTAGAGGGCCAGAAGCTCCAGGAAGCAATGTTGAAGAGTGTAGTAGTATGAACCAAGGTGGCAGTACTGGGCACCAGTACCAATACCGACCAGCGCAACACCAGAACCATCCACCTCACACGGGAGTCTCACAGGATTGTCCTGCTGCTCCAGTGTACCATGCTGGTCCTCTAACCACCATTATGAGCTCAGTCAATCAGCCTACCATCCAGGTGTATGGTGCTGTTGTTCCACAGCCGCCTGTGACTTTGATGTCATCCCAGAATCCCCATGCTACTACTCCTCATCCCAGTGCCCCCCCACCAGTGCCTGCCCCAGTGCCTCCCGTTGTGCCTCTCTCTCAGCCTCAACCTGCCGCCACCACCACCATTGTGGCAATGGCACCTATAACTGTAACTGTCCCCATTAATCCTGGGACTCACAGTAGTCCCCAGTCTGTAGGGTCTCCCACATCACAGTCTGGGGGTGCTTCTGCACAAGCAGTTTCTGGGAGCACACACTCTTCCGTAGCACTACCACCGCTATCTACAGCATTTGTGTCTGGAATGTCTCAACCAGGTATAGCCCCTACACAAGTAACATCTGTTTTATCTGATATGTCTCAGCCAATGGTAACTCCAGCACAAGTTACAACACCAATGGTTAGTGGCATTCCTCAGCATTCAGTGACTCTGACACAAGTTTCATCAAGTATCTCAACTGGAATGAGTCAGACACCCATTGCATCACCTCTTGCCACACCATTTGTGTCTGGTATGTCACAGCCAACAATAGCTCCCACAAAAGTTACTGCAGCAGTCATCTCTGGGATACCTCAAACTGCAATAGCTCCTTCTAGTGTTACAGTTTCTGCTGTTCCTACATCATCTCAGCTTGGAGGAACTCAGACATCTGTGGCAACTGCAAAACTCACTGAGAAGTCCCAGGTCACAGTCATTCCTGCACAAGTCACAACAGGCAGTGTCAGTTGTGTGCCTCAGTCAGCTGTTCCCCCTGGACAAGTTTTAACAGCTGTTGTTACTGGTGTACCTAAATCTGTAACAAGTGTCTCACATGGAATAACTTCAGGTATAACTGAGATTCCTCAGAGAGGTCCTTCACCAGATGTAGTAGATATATCTGATGAAAAACAGAGTGATAAGGTTGATACACAGTCTCCTTCAGCTATAGTGCCTGGATTGCAACAGTATGCCAAAGATGATAATGTTGATAGAGGGTCAAAAGGTACACCTTTAGAGTACAGTAATGCATCTAATTTTGGAATTTCTCAGGCAGCAAAGATTGCTACAAGAGGCAGTACAGCTGTTGTTTCTGGGGTACCGAAGACTGTAGTAGAGATCACAAAAACAGCTACTGCCATTGTTTCTGGAGTACCAAAATCATCCATGGGATCTGCACAAGCACAAACAGCTGTTGTCTCTGGAGTTCCAAAGACTCAAGTGATGCACACACAGGTGTCTTCTTGTAGTGTCACTGGTGTATCTAAACCATTAACACTAACTGCACAGTCAAATACAGCTGTAGTTTCTGGTGTACCACGTATGTCTGTTGCTCCAACCCAGCTGACTTCAACAGTTGTTCCTAGTGCTTCTCATCTATTGAAGCAAGTCACTTCCACTGCCATTTCTGAGAAATCTAGATCTATAGGCCTTCCTCTAAAAGATACCCGACCAGTGGATCATGAAATTCACCAACATAATGTTTCTCCTTCAAAGATATCATCAGAGGTACCCAGAATATCCAAGCACACAAAGATACCAAACCTTGGATCAGTATGCACTTCTGAGGAATCAGAGAAAACTGGTTGTGCATCTACTCCCAAGATGGCCTCAGAGACAGAGGTGCAAGTAAATACCACAGATGCAATAAATTCAGTACCTGAGTCATATGTAGCATGTAAAGGAACAGCAAATAAGCCAGAAGCCAAGGTTACTGAAGGAGTCAGAACAACCTGCCCTGTTTCTCCAATGAATGCTAGTGGTATAGAAATGAAAGATGTGACAAAGGTGAAGAAGGAAAATGAAGTTCAGCCATCAATAATCCGAGAGACAGATATATCCAAGTCTGTGAATACTGCTCACCCAATGTTCACTATTCCAGACTTCCCTAATAGAGTCTCAAGACCCAATACAAGTTGGAGCCCAACACAGCATAGTATAACCACAGAAAAAGAAACCTATAAGCAATTTTCCACACCAGTTAATCATTCCTCAAGTTCAGGTTGTGACATACAGCATTCACATTCAGTTGGTAAGATGTCATTATCCTCATTATCCTGTAGCACAAATATAAGTGCCTCAAATCAAGTTTTAGCATCAGACAGTGCAAGATCTCCTGCTTCTGGTGTTCCTTTAACTTTTCAGTCCAAAAATGCTTGTCCCAACAACACCAATATCACCTCAATAAATGCTAGTGCTGCATCAGCAGTAGTTCCATCCACACTAAGTAATTCGAAGAGTAAAGAGGAGGGAATCTCACCCCTTAAGGAAAAGTCAAAAGCAAATACAACATGCAATGTTGCTACTAAGGCAGTGGATGATGCAGGCAGGACTGGGTTGCAACGACCTGGTACAAGACACCTTCTTTGTCAAACCTTACCTTCATTAACCAAAACGGCCACTGCCAGTGTAGCCAAAGCAAAGTCTTCATCTAGTACTAACACGCATAGAATGTTGGTTAAATCAGAAGACAAAAGTAAAGACACAAAACCAAACATTCCAGAAAGTGTTCCTAGCAGTCAAAGCAATCCAAGTCCTAATAATTCTTCTTCAAGTACAATAACAATAAATACAGCAAAAATAGAAGAATGTGGAAATGTAATTGATGTCAAAGCTGACATAGTAAGAGCAGAACCCATTGTCAGAAAAAGAGGCAGGCCTCCCAAGGTCAGGGACTCCAGCAGCGATAGCTCAAGCAATGCCCCTTCGGAAACTTCAAGTCCCAGTCATCACTCAGGGTATAGATCTCCCAAGATGAAACCAGATGTAAATACTACACCAGAAAAAAAAAATTCTAGCTTGCATGATCCTGATATGAAGAAAAGTCGAAACTCATTGCATCCCTTTCTAGGAACAAAAACTTTGAGGTCGCACTCAGAGGAAAGAAAAAAGTCGCTTTTGCAGACTTCCACAGTACCTACCTCACCTTCAAAACAGGTGGACTGCAAGCAAGATATCAAGTCGGGGGGCTCTATGAAGATGATAAATATCAAAACAGAAGTATTTCCAAAAATAAAGACAGAAAAGGTATCTCCAAAGGGTGTCAATAAAAATTTATCTCCATTAAAAGTATCCCCAAAAGAAATTTCTCTCTTCAAAAACAAAATAGAAAATGGACAGGATGAAACTTCATTGAAAAGTTCAGATCTATCAAGGAAGTGTGAACTTTCTTCACCCACAAAGATTGATGAATTTACAGACTCCAAAAAGTATATAAAAGGAGCAAAAGAAATAAAGAAATCACCATCAGGTTTGTTGAGTGACCAAAGAGTGCCCAAAAATAATGTAGTAATATCAAAATCAAAACTGAAAGATGATGAAAAGAAAGTAATTTCATCAAATACTAGCTTAAAACGGAAAAGTAGTGAAAGCATAGGTAGTAGTAGTAAAGTAATAACTAAATCCAGGGAAAGTGAAACGTCCTCAAAAGCTGCCGGGGGTGCTAAGCATCAAGCACAGAAATTTCAGAAAATCAGCAAGAGCACAAAGGGATCTACTCGGCGATCTTGCCCAAATGGAAAGGTGAATAGGAAGAAAAGCCTTTTAGCTTATTTAAAGGAACGAAACAACGAGAGTGATACCTCAAGTGTTGATTCTGAGGCTGCTGGTGGTGGGAGGAGAAGATCCAAAAGCAAGGAGGAATCACCTAAATCCAATAGTGCCTCTCCCTTTCCCTCGGCCTTCCCTCCACAGCCAGTTAACTCTGGCTCCCGCCGCAGGAGTGCCACTGGACATGGAAAATCCAAATCCACAAAGAAGCCAAGATGGGTGCACAACTGGTCTTGGGAAGGAGAACCCTTTGAAGGGAAAATTTGGTTAAGAGTAAGTATTTTCCCGTGAAACACTTTTTGGTCAACTTCATGGAGTAGGCAAAAGGCAGAGGCAAATTTTAAAACTTTACATGTGAAAAGTCTGTTGATCACACACACACATATACAATCATTCGCTCACAAACACATCCAGGCTCACATACAAACACTCATTCACACGCATCTGTGCACACACTTGCACAGACATATCACACACACACGCATGTCACACACTCCACACACACACACGCATGCCAAGCTCCTCACACACACACATGCTCCACACACACACACACACGCTCAACACACACACACACACGCTCAACACACACACACACGCTCCACACACACACAC